ATGTCCTAAATAGTTCTGTCGTATTAATTTGCAACCCCACTCTTTCCTTCTGCCCTCCAAGGCATATTGTCATGGAAATAATAATTATTTATATAGGAAATTTATTTTTTAAAATTAATTCTGGAGCTCTAGGTTAGTATTTTTGGCTTTGCTTTATTGGAGTTTGAACTAAAAACTTTCTTAAGCCAGTATTTTAATTCTCACTTGAGCACTTGACCTAACACTTTTCTCAGGAGCTGAGAACTGGAGAAAATCACCAGATATCATAATACTTGGTGCTGCTGTTCTAAGTGAAAATTGTGTTTCCTCAGGAAAGGCTCTTGACCTGTTATTTCTGCATAATGGTTTGATTTAGATCCAAAAAGAAATGCTTAAAATTCCAGTGCAGAAGGAGAATTTATTTCCATGCCTGTCATTAGACTTATGCTTCCTTTGGTCCAAGGTGTGTGCTACACAGTCAAATGGAAGTAGGATGGTATAGTTGCCAAAATAGATGTGTTAATTTCTCAATTATTTTTTTAATTCTGTGCAGTGTTTTTAAAGTAACAAGTATTGTAAGCAGCACACTATTTTTAAACCAGGGACATTTTGTGCTGAAATTGGCCATTGCAACACTGGGTTAGAATTAGAATACACAAAATTCAAAACCACAGTAACCCTAATTTTGCCATTCTTGCCTTTTTAACTGCTCAACAATGGTGCTGTGTTTGTATAGTATTTAAAAATATTTGTTAAGAGGAATGTAAAGAGCTACTGGCAGGCTTCTCTGTTAACTCTTTCTGCACACTCTGGCAGCCTGCTCAGAAATGGGCTCTAGTGAAAATTCAGGGGTGAGTCCTATGTCCAGAGCTCATACCTTCTTTTGTATTGCAAGCAAAGGAGCAGCCACCAGCCAGGATGGGGACAGACCCCCACGGTGGAGTGGGCAGTCCCTCTGGCTCGTGATGGGCTAAAATCTATTTGACATCTCCTTTCCCAGCTCACCCTGCTGTGTGCAGGCCTGGATTTGTAACCTCCAAGGACTTACTTCAGCAAAAGAATAGTAATGTTTGGGATAATACAGTCTGACCATGAAGATGAGTTGTATAGGCTGTCGTTCATGCCATGACCTCACAAAGACTGGTTCTGCCTGGCTTGGTCCTAACGTTCCAGCCAGCACTCTGGGAAAAGATTATGGGGGCCCAACACCACTCAGGACTTCTACCTTCCAACCTGCCCCAGCTGTGAGCTGCCTGATTTTCCCTGCAGGGGCTTTGCACAGTTGGGACATTCTTATGTCCATCGTCAGATGGAAATTAACTTTGGATTTCACATCTCCGGTCAGACTGACCCAAATGTATTCATGTGGAAAAAATAATAATGGCAAAGCAGCTTGAGAAATGATTTCTGCTTTTTGCTGTTGCCTTGCATTTTGGTGTATACTGTCTGTATTTTGAATACAAGCTCATCCGATGCATTGTAACGCAATAGCAATTCAGACTGGGTAATCCTGGGAACCAGCAGCTTGAATCTTGCCTTTCCAAATTATACTGTTCTAAAACTTGACTTCTTTGTTAAAAATGAAGAGTTTCCAGGGGGCAAAAAGCCCCCAGAGAAGCACTGTTGGCATTTTATATTTTTAAACTGTCTTGCTGAATGAAAACAGTTGATTATTAGCTTGATGGGGTGACAATGAGTATATAGAACTTAAATATCTCACCACTCCCACAAAGAAAAAAAAATCCACCCTCCATTGTATCATGGGAAGATACATAGCCAGAAAAACTTTCCAACTCATTAAACTTTTATACTTGCTTCATACAAGCTTAATGTAGGCTTTTTTCCATCCTGTGATGTTGTTGGGCTGCTTCTGAACTGATCCCAGTGGAGGAGGATGCCATCAGCTTAGCACTACTTCTTTCTTGTAACACAGACCTGCCTTTCTCATAACAGAATGAGCTGAATTGCTTAATCTGAAGAATTAAAAAAAGATTTCCTTGTTTGTGTGTTTTGGGTTGTTTATTCTGCCAAGCCTGATAACGAAATCAGTCTGAATGTTTCCCCTGTAATAAGTTTAGTCAGCTTCTATGATTGTGTGGCGTATTTGGGCAAGGACAGGGATAAAGGAAGAAAGTTTGAAAAAAACAGGAAAATACTATTGTGAATATATCAGGCAAGTTATAAACTAGGAAAGGGTAATTGGAGTCAAGCATCATACCTGCTGCTACTTGTCATGCTCCGTGGTAGTTGTTTTGGTGAGCTTTTCTTCCACTTGTGACTTGTGTTTGACGTTTTAGGAGAGAAGTATGGGAAAATACTGATTTAAAGTACTAGAGTTTGGTTATATCACTTTTAAACTGCACATCTTGTGGTGATGAGTGGATGTCAGGCCACTGTAGCTGGCTTGAGGTCAGAAAGGGACAACAAAAAGCGATGTTTGGGCTCATTTTGAGCTCTGTGCTGTGCGGGACAACTTCAGGCTCTCTCGTGCACAAGGGGAGACCATATCACATCTTGATGTGAGGCAAGAGCTGGCAGGAAGCATCAATGACTCCTTTGCTGTCTCTGGTGTAATTTTAGCTTTCTGACACCCTGATGGAGTTCTGTTGCTTATCCTGGTTGTGTCCTTCCCCTTGCTCTTCCTGCTTCTCCTTTATCATCCTCAGCCACTAGCCTGGGGAAGAGCCGCCTCACTGCACCTCGCCTGTAGGTCAGCTCATCCCTGTGACAGCCCGGAAGGGGGTGTGGGTTTCAGCTGGTCACTGCACCCATGAGCGAGGATGTAGCGAGTTCTAAATTGAGAGCTGTTGCTTCATTTGTGTGCCTCTCCAAACCCCTGGATTTAGACATTCCCTCACCATTAATTACATCCTCTCATCTTTTAGCAGCAAGTAAACGGGCCAAGCTGGGCACGTCATGCTCCAAGCAGCCCAATGCTGTTTCTCATTGGTTGGCTGCTTACAAGTTTCTCAAAGTGTCTCCTCTCTTTTGGGAAGTGCATCCTGTGGGACTCTCCTCAGGATGGGGAGTGATTGGGCAGCTCAGGTCCTGTCTCGGAGGGCACACAGGCAGGTGACACCAACCAGTCCAGTATTGCCAGAGTTGATCCCCATTACAGGGTCAGGTGCTCCAAAGGGAAGCCCAGATCACCCATAACCAACAGCCAGAGAGGTAATTCCTGGTGGCACTGGAATTGAATCTGTTACCATCATTTGCCTCGGTGCAATCTCTGATGAAGATGCTGGGTGTCACAACCTCATTTCTGGAAGCCATAGAGCCCAATCACCCTCATTCGTCTGTTGTTTGACATGAGCTGCTCAGACAGATGCAGTGCAAGACTAACAAAATTGGCAGTGCTGACTCTGACAGCAGTTTGAGAATTTGCCTGCTTGCCTTGTGACAGCCCTTAACACAGCATTCCCCAGTGTGGTGTCCCACAGAACGCTTGGCAGCAGTCATGCAGAGGTGAAAAGATTTCCAGGTGAACTTCAAAGAGAAGGATCTGACTAACTGTCTCACAGGGAGCCAGGATGTGGACGCAGCCAGATGAGGCAGCTCACATGGAAGGGCTGCCAAAAAAAAAGGAGAGGACGGATGAAACTGTGACTAGAGAGTGAGGAGGAACAGGCAATTGGGCAAGGTAGAGGGGAAAGTCTCCATGGGCTGTTTCCAGCAGCTGGGAGATGTCTGTTCTTCGGGGAGGTAACCTGTGGGTGAAGTGCTGAACCTCAGGCACGCTGGCTGTCATTCCTGGCTCTGCCGCAAGCCTCCGCCGCCTGTCCTTGGACAAGCCACTCTCCTGGTGACTCAGTATCCCAGCTGGAGAACAGGCATTGCTGCTTACCTCATGGGGATGTTGTGAGAGTAGGCTCGTGGACGCCTTTGCAGTCTGATGTATTAAAGGTGTGGGGGGGAGCAACAAAAAGTGACCACAAAGACAAACATTAAAAGGGATCTGTTCTTCCTTTGCCGCCTGTGCACACGTAATCATGTCCCTAATGATAATGTCATGGTGACTTATTCATCACTGACATACACTCCTTCAGTTCCATTGGTGGGAATGGCTTTTTGTTTTTACTATTTGTCCCCTCAGGCTTGTAAAGATGTAATTGTGTATGTTTATATAATATGTTAATGTTTTAAGCAATTTCTATTAGAAAATTAGAAAAACTAACAAACAATTAATCATAGTCAGACTAAACTGAGATGTAATCAAGTAATACAAGAGTGGGACTGGAGCAGAGTTTGCAAAGGGAGCCTCAAACAGAGAAAATGCAAATCCTGAGACCTAAAGAAGGAGGAATTCTGCTTTGTGTCTGTCTTAAATCCTATGCCTGAGAGTACCCAAGGAGGTCTAAGACCAAAAACCAAAAGTGATCACTCTTCAGCTCTCTCCTTCTAAAAAAAGCTTCTGCAAAGGAGGGGGAGCTCTGGTTGACTTTAACCCTCAAAATAAATATCGTGTTAATTGTATTCACTCACAACGTGATCCAATGACTAGTACAAACCTGGGAACAAGAAAACAGGATGTGTTAGGGCTCTTAGGGAATTGATTAACCTGGTGCTATCACTTGGTTCTGCCTGTGCCTGTGTGTGCTAAAGCAAAATGGAACTACTTGTCTCCTTGCTTGGAAGAGAGCTAGGAGACTTAGGGAAATGCTGTGAAGAACATGGAGAGCCACAGGTGGAAAATGCTGGGAGTGATCACAAACTTCAGAGTTTTACACAGGAGCAAAATGCATGGTCATATTTCACCTGCCAAAGCTGGCTTTTCTTTAAAAAGTAGGAAATCCAAAACAAATTGGCTAGAGAGGAGGAACATTCATCTTCACTTAGTACTGTATTTGAAAAACTTTAATTGCATAAGTTTTCCTGACACTCACCAGGGTTATCTTTGGAGCAAAAAAACAAGATTCTTGGTTTTTTTGAAGGAACAGGTGGCAGCATGTAGCAACCTTTTGTTATTAAATTTTAGTCATGGTTCCTTTTTTTTCCCTTTTCTTTCCTTTTCCCATCTGCAGTTGAGTATGACAAGGAGTTCACGCCTCACCAGCGGCACCACAAGGAATTCAAATTTAATTTGTCTCAGATTCCTGAGGGCGAGGCCGTCACAGCTGCTGAGTTTCGGATCTACAAGGACTGCGTTTTGGGAAGCTTTAAAAACCAAACCTTCCTTATCAGCATCTACCAGGTGCTGCAGGAACATCAGAACAGGTATGCAAGAGGAGGCTTGCTCTGTGCCACCAACTGCTGTCCTGGAGAAGGCTGAGCTTATGCAATAATATTGATAAGGCTGAAAATAAATATCAGGTTTGTTCATGTTAGCAGGGTTATGTTATTGCATGGTCCTTTCCTTATGGGAAATGGGCATGGTAGGGTATGAATGAGGGTGTGACTTAACTGCAAGCTTTGTCTTTAAATAAAGAAAGAATCTGCTGAGAAGCAGTGGATTTTTAAGGCACTGCTGGCATTGCTGCTGTGTACTGAAATTCACATATCCTCTTTCAAATTAATACTAGCAGCCTGTTTGAAAAATACTGGTAATTAGTTCAGACTTGATCTGCTCTCAGCTGGACTTATATTAAAGTAAATAAAGCAGAAGAAAATTCAACATGCTGACCGCAGGTACAAAATAATTTCTGGTCTTTCAGCGGCAATGAGAGAGGAAAAGTGAGTGAGGCAGGGTAGAAACTGTGACACAAAAATCCAAACAAGTGTAAATGGAGTGATTAATTTTAAAAGAGTAATGTTTCAGATGGAGGAATCATGTAAGGCTAAAAGATGGAAATATATGGTCAATTAAATGTCAGAGTAATGCTGTGGTACAAAAGTGTTTCATTACTTCTACCGAAACTTGTCAGGACTGTAACTGTTCCTCTGCTGCAGGCATTAAAAAAAAAGAAATCAAAACCAGCAGTGTTTAAAAAAAGTTCCATTTGTTTTCTCTTTGAAGGCTTCATGGGCGTTTTCCTTTCTGCTGCTTCTTTCTCCAGCCTTTCCACTGGTACCATTTGGAGGGATCAGCTTTTGATGACTGGCAGTCTTAGGGCAACATCAAATATCTTGTGGTTGTTCTGCAGGGTATGGCTTCTGGGGAAAAGAGAGAAATACTTGGGTAAATAGATGATGGGGAAGAAGGTGTGGATTTTGGGAGATCAGTGTTCCCTTTGTGCTTGAACTTGCAGATTGTTGGAGTGCCTCCTGGGGTGATGTGCATGCTGGTGAGGATGTTACATCAGTGCCCAGCTCAAGAACTGGTCCAGACAGTCATGCAGAGTTCATAGATGTTAGATATATTGTTCATTTGGAGACACATTACAGAAAAAATGGCGAGTGTTGGTCTGCTTCATATTCCAGAAGTAGAGATCCCACCTCTGGAGCAGGAAGGAAACCTCTGCCAAGTGTTTGTGGAAGAAATTGATACGCTGCTCTGTGACAGTCACCAAAGCAGAGCACAGAGTAGGAGAACTGTCAACTTTTATGTGTTTATAACATTTTTTCAGAGTAATCTGAGCAAGCAATGCAATGTGGGAAAGAGAATAAAGTATTGGATAAAGTACGGGATATGGCCCCTAGTATAACCTGTTCCTAACAAATTTACAAACTCTGTTCTGGAAGTGGCAGTGTGCAACAATGATGCTGGGACCTTGTATCTCTGTTTCACACACCATACCAGAAGCATACCAAAGTGGGATTGCACTGCAAAGCTGTGACATGTCCTTTGGCATCTGCGTGTCCTGGGCATCCCTGGGTGCTAGAGGCATCCCTACAGACAGAGCAGAGACAGGAGCACCTGGTGGGGATCACCAGGGTGGTCTCTGTCCAAGAGCTGGCGAGTATTTTGGGTCTTTCCATTCCCTTCTGCCACGTTCCTTCTGCCGCTGCTGGCGGCCATGCTGAGGGGATCCCGCCACTGGGACTGGGAATCCTAACGGAGCTTCCTGCAGTCCCTGGCTGCCAGCAATTCCCTGTCCCTCCTGACAGGGTCTAGGCGTGAACCACTGACCCAGGGATGAGTGTCTGTAGTTCATTACTAACCTCTGACTCATCCAGTCCCTCAAGGCTCCCTTTTTGTTTCTTTTTCTGCTTTATTTATTTACTTTTACTGGTGGGAAGGAGGGAGACGTTTGGCTGAAGCATTTTGTAGTTCAGATGAGTCTGTGGGACTTGCCACATCATCCTCACAGAGGTGGACAAGATGTGGCTCACAGATTCCTGCAGCTGTAGAAAGGACATGCCCTTTTCCATTCTTTTTTCCTTTCAGCTTAAAGGACTCTTTCATATATGTGTGAAATAGAAAATCATATTTGAAAATGGGTACTTCTTTATTAATACATGGATAGGCTTCTATTTTCTGTATATTATCTGTATATAAAAGTATTTTTATATATTTATTAATTGTCCCCTTTATATTAAAAATATGCAGATGTTAAAAGAGTTAAGATAGTAGAAGCTGCATATTGCATATTCAGTGTTATATTCTGTTAAGATCTGACTCCATTGGCTACAGCTGCCATAGGTTCAAACATTCACCCTCACTGGTGACCTGGGTGGACTTTGGCCTCTAAACATTCTTGAAAACAAATACTAAAAAATTGTATTTAGCTGTTTGCTAATATCTCTGCATGGAGGAGGGAAAATGCCTCAGATTATTCTGGTATGCCTGAAGAAACTATACTATTTGAGAGATTATGGGTTTTGATCATCCATTCACTTACTTGCTTTTACTGGGGAGAAAAAAGTCCAAAATGTCTTTTTCTCCCCTCTTGTCTCAGTGCATTAATTTGGAATACAGTGTTCTCTTTTCCAGATCAGAGCACTGGAAGGTTAAATTAAAAGGAAAACAAAGCACTGGGTTTTGAAGGAACTTGTTAAATATTTGTAAGGCTTCTATTGAATTTTAGAAAACATCTTATGAGCCAGAAAATAACAGCTGCTTTTGACTTAAAAAACCAAAAACTACTAAAAAAAGTTGTGTCACACTTCCTTTAGATTAATGGTTTTGAATGACAGCCTGATATTTCCTGACATTTTATGACATTTTATTGCATGAGGAGTAGTCTGTACAGATCTTGAAGTCTAGCTGGTGAACTAGCAGGTGAGAGAGAGAAGTTGATGTCACATCTTTTTCATCTTTTTGTGCTGACATATATTCCTTCTGGTCCAGACAATTCATCTCTAAGGGCTGCAGAAGGTGCCTGTTCAGTTAACATTTGCAGTCTTCAGAGAAAGTTCAGACACCATGTTAATCTTGGTGTTTATGAGGTTAACAGTTGTCTGGGGCAATTATTGGTAGCTCCTAAAATACTTTTGGGCACAAATGATTCTTAAGAGGGTAGCTGGCATGTATGGATTTAAGCCAGGAGTCTACAAGAGGAAGGCAACACGCACCTCTGGGGGAAAAATATAAAGAAAAAGGATCCTGCCGGCTTCTGTCAAAGAAACAACTTTGGCAGGGCAGGAGATAAGAGAAATGTTCAGTAAATACAAATCTTCACCAAAGCTCAGAGCCTGGAAGTATCCCTTGGCTCCAATTAAGTGTAATGAAGTGGCTTAATTCAGTATTACTTGAGCAAGGGGAAAAAAAAGCTCATCTGGACAGTAACAGCGTGAGCGTGTGACTCCAGCCCAGATGTGCGCTGCTGCACGGATTCGGGAGGCCTTGCTGGCTGCTCCCTGATGGCTAAAAATGGAACCAAGCCTGAGGCTAAAATTTCTGCCAGTTACTGAATTACCAAACTGATTTTTGCCACTGTAGACAAGGCTAATATCAGGGACTATATGGGCCCATTTGAGGCTGTCTTCTAGGCAGACATGTGTGGAAAGAGAGCATGAATGATCAGAGATCCGTGCTGATTGAAATAGCATAAAACCTCTGGGCAGAAATGTGAAAAACATACTTGTAGGGTCTCCAGGCAGTTAAACTCACATTGAGGATAATGTGGTCTTATGTACATTCTCTCTCAAAAAAGAAAACATTTTTAATACTGACTCGCTTGTGTCAGTAATATTTTCATCTCCCCATTCCATCCACCCTTTCATAAGGTAAGAAAAATAGTGCCTAGAAACGAAGCTTTTGTTTTTTAACCAAACCGTGGTTAACAGCCACGTTTTGTCATAACACAAACTGCTGGAGCTGTCAGTGGGATGCTGCGAAGAGATTAATGAAATCCTCAGGATGGATGGGTCAAGCTTGTGGCCAGCCATCAGTGGTATGCATTCTGGATTGTGTGGAGAAGAGGCTTCACCAGGCAGGGCTGAGGTGACATCTGGTTTGCTTTGAGGGGGGTGGCTGGGTTTTGGAGCAGGCTGTGGGCTATAGGGGCTGATGCTGGGAGAGGGAATGGGTGACACATCTGGCGGATGTTGCTGCCCTTCAGCTTCTGACCCCCAGAGTGTCGCCCTGTAGCGACACCAGAGTTTTAAGAGACTGGGCTGTTTGGACACTAGGGTGGGATTTTTTTTTCTTCTTCTTCTTTTTTTTTCCCCCCCCTACTTCGGAATATGCAGAAAACGGGGATGTTTGCCAAAGCACCAGTTTAGGAGGGCAAGTGGTGTTAGCTTCCAGGTGCTTGTCCCACCTTGGCTGTATCTGACAGACTGCTTAATTTTACACAGCCTCAACTCTCCTGCCTTGTGCACAGCTAAACCTGGCACCTGGACTTGAGTCTAAAGTGCAGGACTGATTTGGTGGAAGAGCCAGCAAAACCCTCTGTGATTTCTGGTACCTCTTGGGAGCAGAATTCCATGTAAACAAGACCTTTACAAGGGGAAGGAAGAAATGAGTTTGTCCCTGAAAACCGATCATTATTTAAACAGTTTCTTTCTCGAAACTTCCATGCCCTCACCCAGAGAGGTGTCAGGTCAGGACTAGGGAAGGCAGTTTATGGTTGATCAAAGATGTTAGTCCTTGGTTTGGACCATCAGTATGTTTTCAAGTGTAAATATCCTGCTAATGCAGACCTCAAAACACTCCCACACTGTCCAAACAACTGATCTATGAAAAACACAGTGGCCTGTGTTAGTGATCAAAGGAAGATACGGTACATTAATGGTCAGTTTATTAAACAGTTTCGTTTGCACCCAGAATGAAATATGGGAACTTGATGGTCAGGAAGATTCCTCCTACATGAAAAAACATGTGTGGACATTAATGTGCCCTGCAGAGCAACTGTCTAGGGACCATGTTCCTGTTCCACTGAACACAATTCCTT